TGACTCTCTCACAACACGGAAGAAAAATCCAATGTTAGAATGACCCATCAAATTACCATCGCTGAGGTCATCACTGTATTGGGCATGAGCCCTCGTCCCGTTACAGCCTGGAACTACAGCTCAAAGTTCTCTTCAGTTGACGCACAAATCTTTCGCCTTTTACTAAAGATTTCCGTGGAGAGGAGCTTAATTGAGCATCGCTTATTTTTAGGCTGCTTTGCTGCTGGCAAAGCAATACAAATGTGTGTAAAAGACAAGTCCTTTCCGATATTCGTCGTTGTGTCGAAGTATGCGGCTATGTAAAAGTAATACAGAGCCAAGGAAACATTTCCATAGTGTAAATGGCAATATTGTCCCATCGGGGAGTCAAACCCCTGTATTTGCTTGATTAGCAGAGACACTCTCCACTACACTGCAGAACAAACAAACTTACGAGAGCGTGACACAGAGCACGACTCGAAATTTCTAGTCTCACTTTTTGCAACAGCAACATCGTATTTATGTTTTCACCTGGAAAACCCTAGATTGAATTTAAAAGGGGTGTTGTTGAGGATTCGGGTAAACCGTCTGTCTTTTAGCTGTCCTTAGCCAACAGCATCAAGTCATTTTCGTTTTGCAAAAGATTGTAACTCCCCGTCGGGGAATCGAACCCCGGTCTTCCGCGTGACAGGCGGAGATACTGTCCACTATACTAACGAGGAAGCAACTTGGAAAATTGTTTCATCGAGTGCGCCCCAATCTTACATAGTGTCATGCCCTGCAACGACAATGCCAGCTTTGTTTTTCGACTTCAAAACCCCAAGAGTGAATGGGGCTGTTGCAGATTCTGTGCAACTGTCTGTCTGTTGACTGGCTTAAACTTGATTTGTCATTAGCCAGAAAGTCAAAAGCAATTTAGTCTTTTGCAGGTTGCAAAAATGTGAAACTCTCCGCAGAGGAATCGAAACCCCTGGTTTTCCATGTGACAGGCGGAGGTACTGTCCACTGTACTAACGAGGAAAGGGCTTTTCACAATGTGTTCTCGAGGTCAGCCTAATGTAACATCGTATCTTTCTCTGCAACTGCGGTGCCATGTTTGTTTTTGGACTTCGAAGCCCCAAGAGTGGACGTAAAATGAATGCTCCTGTTGCAGATTTTGATGGGAAATTGAACCTCCACGAAAAACTTACGAGAGAGTGTCAAGTGCGATTTAAATTTTCATAGTCTCTCTGGTTTGTCTGTTGCCTGACTTGAGCTTGCATTGCCCATAGCCAGTAATCAACAGCCATTGAAACACAAAATGTGTGAATGACTGCGACTTACCTTAAGTGTAGATCCACTTTACAGACCAATAGCATATTAGGGGTGCTTTATTGACTCTCTCACAACACGGAAGAAAAATCCAATGTTAGAATGACCCATCAAATTACCATCGCTGAGGTCATCACTGTATTGGGCATGAGCCCTCGTCCCGTTACAGCCTGGAACTACAGCTCAAAGTTCTCTTCAGTTGACGCACAAATCTTTCGCCTTTTACTAAAGATTTCCGTGGAGAGGAGCTTAATTGAGCATCGCTTATTTTTGGGCTGCTTTGCTGCTGGCAAAGCAATACAAATGTGTATAAAAGACAAGTCCTTTCCGATGTTCGTCGTTGTGTTGAAGTATGCGGCTATGTAAAAGTAATACAGAGCCAAGGAAACATTTCCATAGTGTAAATGGCAATATTGTCCCATCGGGGAGTCAAACCCCTGTATTTGCTTGATTAGCAGAGACACTCTCCACTACACTGCAGAACAAACAAACTTACGAGAGCGTGACACAGAGCACGACTCGAAATTTCTAGTCTCACTTTTTGCAACAGCAACATCGTATTTATGTTTTCACCTGGAAAACCCTAGATTGAATTTAAAAGGGGTGTTGTTGAGGATTCGGGTAAACCGTCTGTCTTTTAGCTGTCCTTAGCCAACAGCATCAAGTCATTTTCGTTTTGCAAAAGATTGTAACTCCCCGTCGGGGAATCGAACCCCGGTCTTCCGCGTGACAGGCGGAGATACTGTCCACTATACTAACGAGGAAGCAACTTGGAAAATTGTTTCATCGAGTGCGCCCCAATCTTACATAGTGTCATGCCCTGCAACGACAATGCCAGCTTTGTTTTTCGACTTCAAAACCCCAAGAGTGAATGGGGCTGTTGCAGATTCTGTGCAACTGTCTGTCTGTTGACTGGCTTAAACTTGATTTGTCATTAGCCAGAAAGTCAAAAGCAATTTAGTCTTTTGCAGGTTGCAAAAATGTGAAACTCTCCGCAGAGGAATCGAAACCCCTGGTTTTCCATGTGACAGGCGGAGGTACTGTCCACTGTACTAACGAGGAAAGGGCTTTTCACAATGTGTTCTCGAGGTCAGCCTAATGTAACATCGTATCTTTCTCTGCAACTGCGGTGCCATGTTTGTTTTTGGACTTCGAAGCCCCAAGAGTGGACGTAAAATGAATGCTCCTGTTGCAGATTTTGATGGGAAATTGAACCTCCACGAAAAACTTACGAGAGAGTGTCATCAAGTGCGATTTAAATTTTCATAGTCTCTCTGGTGAAATGTTTGTCTGTTGCCTGACTTGAGCTTGCATTGCCCATAGCCAGTAATCAACAGCCATTGAAACACAAAATGTGTGAATGGCTGCGACTAACCTTAAGTGTAGATCCACTTTACAGACCAATAGCATATTAGGGGTGCTTTATTGACTCTCCCACAACACGGAAGAAAAATCCAATGTTAGAATGACCCATCAAATTACCATCGCTGAGGTCATCACTGTATTGGGCATGAGCCCTCGTCCCGTTACAGCCTGGAACTACAGCTCAAAGTTCTCTTCAGTTGACGCACAAATCTTTCGCCTTTACTAAAGATTTCCGTGGAGAGGAGCTTAATTGAGCATCGCTTATTTTTGGGCTGCTTTGCTGCTGGCAAAGCAATACAAATGTGTATAAAAGACAAGTCCTTTCCGATGTTCGTCGTTGTGTTGAAGTATGTGGCTATGTAAAAGTAATACAGAGCCAAGGAAACATTTCCATAGTGTAAATGGCAATATTGTCCCATCGGGCAGTCAAACCCCTGTATTTGCTTGATTAGCAGAGACACTCTCCACTACACTGCAGAACAAACAAACTTACGAGAGCGTGACACAGAGCACGACTCGAAATTTCTAGTCTCACTTTTTGCAACAGCAACATCGTATTTATGTTTTCACCTGGAAAACCCTAGATTGAATTTAAAGGGGTGTTGTTGACGATTCGGGTAAACCGTCTGTCTTTTGGCTGTCCTTAGCCAACAGCATCAAGTCATTTTCGTTTTGCAAAAGATTGTAACTCCCCGTCGGGGTATCGAACCCCAGTCTTCCGCGTGACAGGCGGAGATACTGTCCACTATACTAACGAGGAAGCAACTTAGAAAATCGCTTCATCGAGTGCGCCCCAATCTTACATAGTGTCATGCCCTGCAACGACAATGCCAGCTTTGTTTTTCGACTTTAAAACCCCAAGAGTGAATGGGGCTGTTGCAGATTCTGTGCAACTGTCTGTCTGTTGACTGGCTTAAACTTGATTTGTCATTAGCCAGAAAGTCAAAAGCAAATTAGTCTTTTGCAGGTTGCAAAAATGTGAAACTCTCCGCAGAGGAATCGAAACCCCTGGTTTTCCATGTGACAGGCGGAGGTACGGTCCACTGTACTAACGAGGAAAGGGCTTTTCACAATGTGTTCTCGAGGTCAGCCTAATGTAACATCGTATCTTTCTCTGCAACTGCGGTGCCATGTTTGTTTTTGGACTTCGAAGCCCCCAGAGTGGACGTAAAATGAATGCTCCTGTTGCAGATTTTGATGGGAAATTGAACCTCCACGAAAAACTTACGAGAGAGTGTCATCAAGTGAGATTTAAATTTTCATAGTCTCTCTGGTGAAATGTTTGTCTGTTGCCTGACTTGAGCTTGCATTGCCCATAGCCAGTAATCAACAGCCATTGAAACACAAAATGTGTGAATGGCTGCGACTTACCTTAAGTGTAGATCCACTTTACAGACCAATAGCATATTAGGGGTGCTTTATTGACTCTCTCACAACACGGAAAAAAAATCCAATGTTAGAATGACCCATCAAATTACCATCGCTGAGGTCATCACTGTATTGGGCATGAGCCCTCGTCCCGTTACAGCCTGGAACTACAGCTCAAAGTTCTCTTCCGTTGACGCACAAATCTTTCGCCTTTTACTAAAGATTTCCGTGGAGAGGAGCTTAATTGAGCATCGCTTATTTTTGGGCTGCTTTGCTGCTGGCAAAGCAATACAGACGTGTATAAAAGACAAGTCCTTTCCGATGTTCGTCGTTGTGTTGAAGTATGCGGCTATGTAAAAGTAATACAGCGCCAAGGAAACATTTCCATAGTGTAAATGGCAATATTGTCCCATCGGGAAGTCAAACCCCTGTATTTGCTTGATTAGCAGAGACACTCTCCACTACACTGAAGAACAAACAAACTTACGAGAGCGTGACACAGAGCACGACTCGAAATTTCTAGTCTCACTTTTTGCAACAGCAACATCGTATTTATGTTTTCACCTGGAAAACCCTAGATTGAATTTAAAAGGGGTGTTGATGAGGATTCGGGTAAACCGTCTGTCTTTTGGCTGTCCTTAGCCAACAGCATCAAGTCATTTTCGTTTTGCAAAAGATTGTAACAACCCGTCGGGGAATCGAACCCCGGTCTTCCGCGTGACAGGCGGAGATACTGACCACTATACTAACGAGCAGCAACTTGGAAAATTAATTCATTGAGTGCGCCCCAATCTTACATAGTGTCATGCCCTGCAACGACAATGCCAGCTTTGTTTTTCGACTTCAAAACCCAAAGAGTGAATGGGGCTGTTGCAGATTCTGTGCAACTGTCTGTCTGTTGACTGGCTTAAACTTGATTTGTCATTAGCCAGAAAGTCAAAAGCAATTTAGTCTTTTGCAGGTTGCAAAAATGTGAAACTCTCAGCAGAGGAATCGAAACCCCTGGTTTTCCATGTGACAGGCGGAGGTACTGTCCACTGTACTAACGAGGAAAGGGCTTTTCACAATGTGTTCTCGAGGTCAGGCTAATGTAACATCGTATCTTTCTCTGCAACTGCGGTGCCATGTTTGTTTTTGGACTTCGAAGCCCCAAGAGTGGAAGTAAAATGAATGCTCCTGTTGCAGATTTTGATGGGAAATTGAACCTCCACGAAAAACTTACGAGAGAGTGTCATCAAGTGCGATTTAAATTTTCATAGTCTCTCTAGTTTGTCTGTTGCCTGACTTGAGCTTGCATTGCCCATAGCCAGTAATCAACAGCCATTGAAACACAAAATGTGTGAATGGCTGCGACTAACCTTAAGTGTAGATC